TGTTGAGTTCCATAGCATTCTTTAACTGGAGCTCATACATTCTGTTTCTCCTCTGGTAGAAAACATATTCTGGGTCAACTCCTGTGTTCGCGTCATCTGCATAAAGTTGTTTATATCCCACTTCAGGGTTTGTATAAAACTCTTTCCATCTCATATTTGCATACCATGGTGGCAAACCTAACGCAGCGTCATTTGACATGGCAGTTTGCATTTGTACATCTGTTGGCACTTGACCATAGTTTGCCATTGCAGTTTGTATTCTAACTTCATTTGGAATATTCTCTGGGTTTGGTTGTCCAGGTTGCTGTGCATTCGCTAAGTTCTGTGCGTCCATTTAATATTAGATAAAAATATCTCTTACGAGTACATATGCTGAACATTTGCAGGCATTGGTTCATCTTCATATTCTCTGTACTTTTCTGCCACGTCAAAGAAATAAATGACACAATGGAAAAAACCTAAAACAAGTAGTCCTATTTCAAACCACATTTACTTACTAATAAAATTTCTTTGTTATGACACTTTCTCCGGTTTATAGGACCTCTCTCATATTCTATCTTGTCATATCTAAACTCATAGTCATGTATGTCCTCTAACCATCTCATAACGGTTTCCAAACCACTTTTATCGGATGTAAAGTAAAAGCATGGACAGTTATGTAAAACGTCTAAAGTTTCTAAAGAGTCTCTCAAAGTCCAGTCTACTTGGTATTGAAAATCCCATGTGTTATAGAACGGCGGGTCCACTATAAAGAAAACATTTTCCTTGTCTTTATATTTTTCATACAACTCTGTCCAATGACATCTCACAAACTCTATACCCTCAATATATTTTTCTATGTCCTCTTTGAAAACATTTGTATAGTTAAGATATAAAACTTTTGACATAAGTGTTTCAATGTCATGAACTCTTATAGAACCACTATATAATAGTCTAGCAGATATACTATCCCAGTCTATATATTCTGCTTTTTTCAAAACCTCTCTCACAATATTTTTCTTATCTAATGGTATACGTTCCATCTTACCTATAGGTATCTTTTCTTTTAACGCTTTCAATATATTGTTTGTGTCTGGTATATGTTTGAGACGGTCCATATAGTTGTCGAAGTCATTGCATATAATCTTTGAGTCTGGGAATATTGTATGGCACAAATGGGATATATAGAAACTTCCACCGAACAAATCTACAAATGTTAGACCATTCGGTAGTTTCTTAAGTTCTCTCAATATAATATCTTTACATTTACTCTTATTTCCAAAGAACGGTAACGGTGGTTTTGTAAAATTCATTTATATATAATAATAAAAATGTTTTTTCCTGAAAAGTGACAGAAAAGTGACAAAACATGAAAACATATATAATTTGTGAAAAGCTCCTGGAAGCCCTCCGAATAAAAACTTCATTTATACTAAACATCTTCAGGGCTAGAGGGCACGAAGTGCCTGGAAGCCCCACTACCTTTTTTTTTTTTTTTTTTTTTCTATTGAATTCCAATTTTCCAATATGAAATGCTTTAGGTTTTTCTAAATCGGCCGGTTTTACATCTAAGATGTTATGAATACATGGAATATGAACACCATATAGTTTATAAACATTTTCCATGTTGCAGTTGCATTTACAATGCTGTTCGACTTTATTTTTAATTGCCGAAATTTTCAATTTTCTATAAAGTTTCATTACATTATCATTTTTTGGATTATGTTTGAGTGGCTTTAGATGTATGAGTAGTTTTCAATGTCAGTGTGGATCAAGATGTCTGGGAATAAAAGTAAGTCGTAGGTTAATATAAGTTTGATATTAATGTAAGTATGACTTAAAATGTAAGTCTCGGACGAAAGTAAGTCTGACTTGAAATGTAAGTCTCGGACGAAAGTAAGTCTGACTTGAAATGTAAGTCTCGGACGAAAGTAAGTCTGACTTGAAATGTAAGTCTCGGACGAAAGTAAGTCTTGGAAGAAAGTAAGTATGACTTGAAATGTAAGTCTCGGACGAAAGTAAGTCTGAGTTGAAATGTAAGTCTCGGACGAAAGTAAGTCTTGGAAAAAAGTAAGTATGACTTGAAATGTAAGTCTCGGACGAAAGTAAGTCTGACTTGAAATGTAAGTCTCGGACGAAAGTAAGTCTGACTTGAAATGTAAGTCTCGGACGAAAGTAAGTCTGACTTGAAATGTAAGTCTCGGACGAAAGTAAGTATGACTTGAAATGTAAGTCTCGGACGAAAGTAAGTCTGACTTGAAATGTAAGTCTCGGACGAAAGTAAGTCTGACTTGAAATGTAAGTCTGACTTGAAATGTAAGTCTCGGACGAAGGTAAGACAGACTTGAAATGGAAGTTTCGGACGAAAGTAAGTCTGACTTGAAATGGAAGTCTGATTCTAAATGTAAGTTCTAGACTAAAGTAAGTCTGATTCTAAATATAAGTCTGATATTAAGATAAGTTTGTAACTAAAATTAAGTCTTATTCCAAAAGCAAATTTAATTGTATAATAAGTCTGGATCTAGAGTAAGCCTTAGTCTACAGCTATTCTGTGTCAAAAATAAGTCACGAACCATAGTAAGTTTCGGACTAGAGTATGTCTGTAATTCGAATCATTCATATTCTTCAATTATCCCGCCAAAAAAATTATCGTCTTTTTATCATACCATAGTTTTTATCAATCTCGTTCTACTAAAAAAACCTTTATATTGGTGATTTCTTTGTTAAACCCGTATTTTTTCATGTGAATCTTATTGTATAAACTCTAAAAGTTCAATTTCCGGTCGAAAAAAACTTGAAAACAATTTGTATTCGACGAGTTAAAGAGCTCTATTTATTCTAAATTTTCCAAAAAAAATTAGATTTCGTTTTTTCGCTTCAAAAAATGTTGTTTTAAGTTTTAAAATTTGTAATTCAAAATTTTTTTGGAAAGATTTACGATTTTTTAATACTGCGAATGAGTTTTATTTTACATACTCTATTGATAAATCATATTTTTGTCGAGATATAACTTTTTTTTTTAAAAATTATATGCAAAGAGTGTTATAGAATTCTAGAAGGTATAGTGCATAATTTGAAGTATACTATCAAATAAAGAAATTTTACAGTTTTTTAGTTTTATTTAGATGTACGTTATTTTAGATGGCTTCGTCGAAAACAAAGCATGTCTGTTAAGTTTATTCTTAACATGGTAAATAAAATGGCAACGAAGCCCAGTGTACTGCGTCTTATGCCGTAGTTTTTGTTATCTTCATACTCAAATACAACAAATACAAATAGATTTATTACGAAAAAACGTATAAAACAAATGATATATTTATTTCTAGACAAGTTGACGAACATGTAGCGCAACTGTATCGCTTTAGAGAACAGTTCTTCCAACACCTACTCATTCAGTGAAAGATTTAAGAAGAACTCTTACTCGACCTTAACTACCTACGCTTTGCTTGAACAATTCCCAACGAGGTTACTATAAGGTTGCAAGTCTTGTCAAAATGTAGTATGCAATACGTTGGGGAAAAATAGATATATACGAACAAACTACTACAGTCTAGCAACTAGTCTTTAAGTGTAATGTATTTTTGCTACAAAGAGCTCATAACGAAGTCAAATTTTGCAATTTGATGTCAAAACTAGCTAGTTGTTGAATCAAATAGCGTTGTGACTTTGTATACATCACGATCTTGTGGTATCAGAGCTGTACTGCTGCAGACTAATTCAACTAAACATGAGCAAGATTGGGATTTCTATTCTCTGGGGTGCGAGGCTCGTCCAAAGTTCAAGCAGCTACAGTGTTTTGGATCACCTAAAGAACTTTGGGAATTCAGTTATTACGTAAATTTCTCAAGATGAACTTGAGAGCAGCGCAGTTATAACGAAAGTCTCTGATGAAAGGCAATGATTTCTTTCATGAATGATCTAACGTTAGCTTGAAATCAGGAAAAGAGACTATTGATGACTTACTTTCCATCGATGGTGCACAACAGCAGGGAGGGGATTGGTGGGTTTGGGGAAATTCGCTGAGGCACTAGTGTCCGGATTGTTCGTCAAATAGGTTTCCTTTCCTATAAAGAAATGACACTTTTTTGGCGGCTTATTGACTCAGAAAAATTTGAGAGTTAACGAATAATTTTGGCGCCAAAAATAATTTCTCTTAATTTATTAAATTTAATATACGCACATCCATAAGTTATGCTATTTTTTCTATTTTTTTGTTTAAATTCTAAATATTTTTTTTTCATAACATAAAATATGATGTCTAGTCTCTTTACATAAAAATGCTTAGAATCCTAGAATAGGTTTTTTATTCTTTTTGTCACTTTAAATTAAGAATAAAAAGATAATTTAAATTGAATATTTGCGATTATTCTCACTAATGCTGCTTCCTCTTTTATTAGGTAGACAACAAAAAGTTAGCCTTGGACTCCCATATCAGATTTTTGATTGGTTGCGTATATAATGAGCTGGGATTGATACACGAAAACCCAGTGAGAAAATTTTTGACGCCTTTGAAATTTGTTCCTAATTTTTATAGGTTTTTGATCAGATCCATATCCCAGAATTCTATTGTACCATAGAAAATCTATCTTCATATTCAGATACGCAAATGACTATTCTAATAATTCATTTCAATCTATTGATGTTTATAATTACTTATTGTTAATAGAATTACATTAAACTATAGGAAAGTTACCAAAATGCCATATATTAAGATCATACAATTCGATTTTTTCATATAAAAGAAAAAAATTAATTGATAAACTCAATTGTTATTACATGGCTTATATCCAACAACTATAGTTTTGGCTTCTTCTTGCATTCCTATTGAATAGATTCTTTTATTGGATTCTCTCAATAATGAAAATCAGAAGTTACCTTGCGTGGAATGGACAGACGCTATAAATTATAAAAATAAAGCGAACACATCACTTAAAAATAAGTTGTTTTTAAAAAAATTCATAAATATGAATTAAAAAAAAAGTCCAAATTAAAATCGGCATTCTTTTATGAAATATTTACATTCAAGAGCTTTGGCAGAAGTCAGCCTTTTCGCAAAGCTCACTTGTATCATAATGAGAAATAATAAGGTGAATAAGATTCTGTACATGGTGTTCGTTGAGATGTTGGCAAATTGTTTCGAGAAATTGTAAATCAATGCAGATTTTCTGAAGGAATTTTGTAAATATTGGCACAGAAATTTCATGAAGACCTTCACCAGTTAAGTATTCAATTAGAGATTGGCAGAATTCGCAGTTATCTGGTGATTCGTGGAGTGTAATACTAGCAGATCCTTTTCTTGGGACTTTTTGAGAAAGAGATTGAGCTTTTGGACGGCATTTACCTAATGACTCACAGATATCATGTGATGTAACTAAATCTTTAAGCTTGTTCTGAAGCTTCGATGCCATTTTATTGCATTTTTTGCTACCTTTGCAAAAACTATAATCTGATATAATGTTTGAATTGTGTATTTGCTCTGCTAGTTTGGCGTATTTCTTTTGGCATTTTTCGCAGTCGAATCCTTTTTTGGATACCGAAAGGAAACTTAAAAGCAAAAACATTTTGATCTGCCAAATTTACAAAACGATAAAGCGACATTTTTGATTAATCACTCATGATAATAGTTGTTAACCAGAATCTACGATCTCCAATTTTGTATAAGAAAATTGAAAAGTTTACAAAAACTTACCTCGATTATAGTTTAAAATCAATATTCATAACCTTTATACTTGTAATACCTCGTTTTACCTAAAAATTCTTTAAAATAATCAGATCATCCGAAATCATTGGTTGCAAAAAATTATAATAGATATAAGCATTTAATTCATTAACATATTGGTCAAACTAATGATGCATGAAATGCCAAAACCCGTCATTTTTTAGAGAAACAAAATTATTTTCTTAGTGAATAGTAACTGATATAAGTAATCAAGAGTCTCTTTTCATCTGAAGAAATATTAACGAAAACCCTAATCTACTATTGGTGTTGTTTTTATACTGTTGACAAATAATTTTTATAATTTGCACAAATAATTTGTAATTATCCTTTTACGATGCTGCCATTATCCACATAATATTCACAGGCATATCTTTATTCTGCATTTTGACTGAAAAGACAATTTTTAATCAAGCCTGATTTTTAGTTTACTATTCAAATTCCACTATCATGATGGTTTCTGCATGACTTCGTGGCGGAAATATCGAGAACAATTTCATATGGTTATATATTAGAAGTTAAAATGTTTATAGCCCACAACTGCTGCCTTCTTTGATTAATCAAATTTATTTCTTTTCGATAATCAATTCCGATAATGAACTCAATCTTATCGCTCAAAGTGATCATCTATACATAGTAGAGTAAATAAATTCTATTTTAAACACTCTCAAAAGTTAGGCGCATTAAAGAGTTCATAATTGTCGATACGTAGAGTACTGAAAATCTTATTAATCGTTTGGTAAATTTTGCCAATTAATTTAAAAACACCAGAAGAATATTGTGTAGATTGTTTTAATATACATGGCAAACAGTGGGTTATTCACCCCACACTCAATTTGAACGATATGTATGAGATACTGGAAGCTATTCTCAACAAACATGGCATTAATGTTAATTAATCCCACTAACTTCACTGATAAAGTGATGGCAATAGATCATATCCTACATTTTGTATATACTGGAGTTACATTTGATAAATATTATCCTTACCAAAAATACCCATACAAGATATTATTTCTTTCACCAAACAAATATAGATGAAAAAATTAACTCTGTTGACACAAATATATATTGCAAAGCTACCATAACGTCAGCACATTGATAAACCATATGAAATAGCTACTATTATAAACTTGACTTCTCAATGGAAATATTTGAAAACCTGAAATTGATACTCTCCATACTTCTCTCAACGATGCATTAAGCCCTTTCCAAATATCAGTTGGCAGTAAACTAGAAGCTTCCCAATCATCCATTAGCAATAAATCTTTGTGCTCCAGTTTCCAAACTTAGTAATCATATTATTAATGCGAATAATTTGGTAACTCATATAATTTTGTTTTCCATTCGGGCAAGTATGCCTCCTTCGTCCTGACTCATTAAAATGTCTCAAATTATAAATATTCATCTATTGTTATCGTTCATGAATTTTTTTTTATTATTTTTTATGGAATTTATTCTATTTAGTTTATCACGCTGTACAGAGACAAATGGAATCTTTAAAAAAGTTTTCAATGATAAAATTGTTGTTATAGATGCAAGCGGATCTTCTAAACAGTTTATAAATGGAAGCATACAATTAACAAAACCAGAAAACGCCATTTATCCATTTGATAAGGACTATGATTGGTGTTCAAATTGCGCTTCGAATTATGATGATCACCCATTCATTACATTTTCACTATTAAAGAAAAGATTTTATTTCAATTTGTATTACCTTAAAGCTGGTTGCTGCCATGATGAGTGCTGCTGTGAAGATGCACTTTACTGTGTCCAATGCTGCTTATTCAGCTGGTCACTCCAAATTTCGGCTGATAATAAGACCTGGACGGATGTACATAAGATTGAACGAGACTACAAAATGAGGAGATGCAATGAAAAAACATACACACTCGATAAATCCTATTCCGCCAAATTTATTCGTTTAATTCAAAATGAGCCTTGTCCTGGCGATCCACCATGCATAGCTCTGAACAAAATGGAAATATTTGGGGAAATTTCAAATGAAGATGGATCTGAAATTCAAGAAGATTTTGTTTCATACCATGATGACGACGATGACGTTAGTATCATCGGCCATATTTCAAAAAACGGAAAAGTTATAGTTAATTAATTTATTTTTTTCCTTTAACTTTTTTAAATTTTTTTTCTTATATATGTTATTTTAAATTAAATCGTTTTTTATTCAACAATAGCATTCCATGATTAATATTCGCGCATTACATATTGTGCGGTTTGATAAAAACAAAAAATATGAATTCAAATTTTATTCAATAAATTATGAGGGAAATAGTGATTTCTCGGCCTTCCATCCTGTAATGAAGTCACCTCATTCAAGTTAACATCTCATTAAAATATCTATCCCCGATACAGTTTAATTTATCGTGTTTCCTGACAATTCAATTTTTTAACAGAAAGCTTTCCTTTTTTCTGAATTTGAATGGAATGCAATAGAGTTGAAGTTTCGGAATATTGCAAATGTATAAGTCATTTGAAAGTCAATCAGAATGTATTATCCAATATTTATTTTGGAGATGTTGTAATTGAGAATTCCGAAATTTTCACTGATTAAGTCAAAAGCTTCAAAAGTACATCATTGCAAACATCGGACTAGTATTATGATAATAATTTAAACAATTAATCGAACGTTTCAATTTTAATTTCAGTCTCTATCAATGCAATTCTTAATTTTTGTGGTTCAATAGCTGTATAAGTATGTTTTAAATTAAAACTGCGCAATGAAAATCATGCATAATAGTTATTTTATACTTTTTGGATGGTTTCATCTGTAATTAGATGAATAAATCAGTTCAGAAATGACATTATGTTACAACATCCATTGTTGTAGGGAACCATTTATATGATCTTCCTGATAAAGCAAAGTGGATATATAAATGTTAAAATATTTTTAATATTGATTTACTTTGACCTTAAAGGAAAATTTATTGTATCACTTATAAGCCTCATCATTCTTCAATGTTGATTGAGAGATCTTTTACAATTTATGATCGCGGTTGATTTGGGCTTGGAATTTGATCAAGAATTAAGATATATTTTATCTTACATTAGTGATGATATGTGAAATATACAACGACATTAGTTATCTCCAGGGTTTAACAAATAATATAAATTCGACATGAGATTATTGAATAATCGCTGCGTTTATGTATTTTTAAATCTTTTTTAATAATAAAATCGATGATTTTATTTATCGATGATTGGATTTGAATATAAAAATATAAATATTCCAGAAACAAATAAAGTGCGTAGAATAGGACAATATATAATTATATATCAACCACCTATCTATCTGACACATCTTAAAAATTGAATGAAATTTTTGAATGATATAAATTAATTTGAATACTAATCGAAAATACTAGTTTTGAGATTTTGTTCAGAAAAGCAATGCATTCAGTATTTTACAAAATTTAAAATATAAAATAAATTTTTTTTCAGATCAAATAAATTCTAAAATCCAAATTCAATTGAGGAACATTAAAATTCATATGTTTTAACAGAATAAAAATGTAAAGTTCTCAAACATTTGAGTCAACCTTCTTATTGACCATCCCGATTTGTACAAAATCAACGTATTAAAATTTTCTTTTATGCCGATTTATTAATTCAATAATCTTCACAATTTTCATTTGTTTTCTAGTTCACAGATCAGAATTGTGTATAATTCAAATATGCATCGCAGCTGCGATGTGATTCTGATAATATATATCAACAGAGAACAAATTATGTTAAAAGCGCATATTAAGCTCAAAATTTAAATATAATTTTCTAAAAAACTCTTTTGACTCGAAGTTTAAATCAACGAATAAATTAACTGGAGAACATCTCTTAAAGAAATATAATAATACTTAGATATTTTTTCTATTTTTAAAAAATTCAAACATTACTATATTTTACACGATCTTCTTGAAACCTAACACAGTTAAATTCATTTATTAATCCAAAATTAATAGCGACATTAATTAATCAAAAGGAAATAGAATTTTGAGCTTCGTCAATATTATCCTATTAATGCAAAAACTTATTAGGAGCAGTAATTATTTAAAAATGTAATAATACAAGATATGCTAAGAAATCGAAAACAAATTTTATAAATTGGATTCAAATTACATTTGTTATCTTTATCGTTAATGTAAAACCGAGATATTTCAAATAGGCAAATCGAATTTACAGTAAAATTCATATATAAATGATTGAATAATATTTTTCTGAGCTTCGTCAGAGTACAATGACTATTTAATTATAATGAGATCAATCACTTTTTACCATTTTTTAAAACAGAAACATGGAATATATTTTTCCAAATGACTTTTTAGTATCATATTCAATTTCAAATTATCTGATATTTTCGAGCTGATTTTACTATATTTTTTTATTGTTGCTATTATCACATTAAATCATATGTCTGTGACTTAATCAGAAACCGTTAAAATTTTTTTTCGTATACAAGTTTTAATTAAACTTTCTTTATAGTTTTGATTGACTAACTAGGTGAATTTAACCTTTTTGACATAGGTCAATATTTTTTGTCACTTCTGAAAAATTAAGACCTTTCTAATCAATTCATGTCGATGTAACTGTCAGAATTTAATGCAGTGGTTCCGATAAATATTACGTAATTATAATTCCCAAGAATTTTATGCGATTTTCGTTTTCATGCATGGTGTTTTCAATTCAAAAATTCAAATAGCAAATTCATATTCTCAAAATGTCCCGTAGCAAAGTCAACTATTATGCTACTGATAAAGACTCTTGCCCTCTTGCAAGTGTTGCCTTTGCCTCATTAGACCTTGAAGGCAATGAATCACGAGATGTCATATCCAAGTGCGAAGCTGCTATTTGTGACCAAATCAATCGTAAAATCAGCGCAGAAGAGTCAGCTTCTATATTGTATAGATATGCAGATAACAATGCCCCAGCAAAATTGATTCAAAAAGTTCTCCACGCAATTGATCATCATAAGCCTGTTATTGGCTTGTCTGACAAAAATAAAGGTTCACACCACTGCATGATGTGGCGCCAAGAAGAAGATATTCTTCTTCTGGCAGCAATTCATAAGTATGGTCTTGGTGACTGGAAATCCATTGCCTACTTTGTTGGTGGTGGTCGATCCCGATCACAGTGTTCTCAAAGATGGGGCCGTGCCATGGATCCAAAAATCGCAAAAGCTCCATGGACTGAACAAGAAGATAAAATTCTTCTTGATATGGTAAATGAGTACGGGGAGCACTCTTGGGCCAACATTTCAAGAAAGATGGGAAATAGATCTGATGTTCAATGCAGATACAGATTTTTCCTTCTGACAAAGAGGGGTAAATCTGGCAAACCAGCCAAAAGAGCTTCTCCTAATTCTCCTATTTACCAAAAGTTTGATGAAAATCAATCTGATTCAAAAAATGAACCAAAATCCAAGGATAAATTAGTTATTCAAGAACAGGAAAATTCATTTGTTAAATACAACGTACTACCAATTTCTGTATTATTGCCCATGAAGAGCATTTCGGAATGCTCTGTTGACGAATTGTTCCCTCCATTGATCATGAAATCGCAGGCTCATTCTGAGCCCACTTCCCCTATATATTCTAACCAGTTATAGAGTAATCTTGTTAGTTTTAGAGCTTAGATATCTCATTATAATTTTTTTTAAAGATATATGTGATATATTTATGAATTACCGAATTGTTTTGTAAGTATAACTAGTAAATTTGGTTGAATTTTCAATAAAACAACATCATATTAACTGAACAACAAATCTTCAATATGATGCTTGAGTATTCTATCTTGCTGCAATTACACTTCATATTGTTTCCTAAGAAAATCTAAGTTCAGAGTATAAAAATAGGGAAAAAACTGATTATTTGCTTGAGATTTTCAATATCATTGAAGCATATTACAGCTCTCGAATAATTACTATTATTTTAGTGTCTGATTGCAGAATCCTGACTTTTATTCAAATTTTCGGACTTATGATAGTTTCATCATATTCTTATCAGAAAGAGCTATTTATTGAAAAACATTACATAAAACCATTTTTCAACATCAATCATATCCAAATTTGTTACAAAATCTCAATGTTATAATGGATTGTAGTTTAAAAATGGTCAAAACTCATTTTTAGGATAAAGTTTGATTGAGACACTGTGAGGATATGCTGGTGGCAAACATAAAAATGAAAAAGATTAGTTTGTGACCTCCAATAAAAGTGACAATGTCTTCGTCTGACGAGGAGGAACAGATTACAGAAGAGGAATTAACATCCTCCGATGAAGAAGAACCAACAGACAGATCATTTGGCGAAAACTATGCTGCTTTATTGAATGAAGTTATTCCAGATGGAAAATGTCCAATTTTATTTTTATCAAAAATCCCAGCAAAAATTGCATCAGAGAGAGAAAAACAACTTAAAGCTACTAGAGAAGCAGAAAGATATCAACAAGGTCGTAAAGCAATGCTTGATCAATTCCATACTGGTTATGAATCATATAATGACGACGATGAATATAAACTTCGTAAGAAAGCTACAAAAGGCGTTATAGAATTATTCAAATCTGTTCATCAGGCGCAAAATAAGAAGCCTATTACAGATACTCCTCCTGAAAAGGATGATACACCAAATGATGCTGATGAATACCTTAATATATTAAGTATGGCAGCTGCTAAACCTGCCGCTAAATAGAGTAAAATTATTTATTTGAATATTATTAGAAATTACCTTTAGTTTTTTGAAGATTTCTTTCTATTTATGTAAAATAACCAAAAAGCTACATACCAGAGTGAAATATAAAAACAATATTTGTGAATTTGCTGTTGAATTTTATACTACCAATATTTTTATAGCTGATGAGATAGAAATAAGAAGCGCCACCAGATATATAGGTGTGGTAAAAGTTACAAAAATTTTATTTGAAATTGATATTTTATGATATTTTTTTGATGGGATATATCAATACAAATAAAATTTCGAATGGATGAGCTATACTATGATTAAAAATTTTGACATTTTTGTGTTTAAAGATTTATTTCAAAAACAAATAAATGTAATAAATAGGAAGTATGAAGTTAAGACTCTGAAGGACCAATGATGGGCGAACTCTGCCGAAAATTCCTGAAATAATACTTCCCTTCATTAGGAATTGGAAAGCAATCAAAAATATCAAAAATCCGATTGCTAAGTTACGAAGTTTTGTATATTTCGACATAGCTCTTTGATGTGTTACGCGGCGAATTAGTATTTCCAAAATTTCTGGGGCAAAACAAAATGAAATACAAAGGATCATTAAGACTCTAGGGTCTATATCATTCAAGTAATTGAATGTAAAGTAGAAAATGCGGATTTTTTCTGTTCCGTTTGGCAATGATATCAATAATCCCAAAATTCTTATTACAATAGAGGGCAACTTATCCGAAACAAAGTGTAGAATAATCCAGGCAATTGTAACTGTAAGTAATTCAAGAGATAGTGATTTGAGGAAATCTTCAAGTTTAATATCAAAAGTGAGATTTCTTGCATCTTGGAAAATAACGATGAATCTCTCCTGTAGAATTGACATAAGGAATGTTGTAAAGAGATTATTTTTGAAACTGAAATAAATGTTCTTGGTTGATATAAAAACTAAGTATGTACTCCATAATCCGTGCATAATTGGCCAGATGGGAATATCTGGCGTCCTAAGTGTGCTATCATAGACCCAGAAAGAAAAAGGATTTGTTTGCAGGAAATGTGCTATTGCGTGCATTCTTTTTTCGCTTCCTTTTTTTGTCAGATGACAGAAATTGATTGACCGAACTTCACTATATTAATAATATCGGCTAAACTCTCTAGAACTTTGCTTACAAACATGTAAATATATGACCTTATATGTCTAATCATTAATTAGAATAAGTTTTATTTTCCGAAAAATATTCTGTGAAAAAAAAGATCAAATATCGGATCATAATGCATAACCTAAGGCTAGTACTTCCAAAGTTATCAATAATAATAACCATCTGCAGAATCATGAATGTTTGTTTGAGAATATCAAAATTAATTAATGACTGTTATTCGTAGATATACTTATCCGGGGCTATACAACTAGTAACATTAATAATTTTTTTATAAAAATAAATAAATGTTATAAATTCTATGTGAAATACCGAGACTTTGCTACAGAAATATGTTTTAAGCTATTGTAAACTCTACACTCAGCTGTGATAGAAGCTGGAGATGTTGTTTTCGATCTTCTCAAGGATTAGTATGTCAATATATATACTAAGATTGGGCAAAAATGTTCCAAACTTGTATGATTCAGTATCAGGCCATTAAAATGCATGGAAACACTTAACTTTTTAAATTTTTTTCGAGTAAAATTGAAGTCTACCGATGTACGTATTGGATGCAAACGGAGGCTCAACTCGAGTTTATTTACATGTGTGTATATTCGATTTTTGTCAAAGTTGGCTAAATAATATATTTTGATGTTTGTCAATTAATTAAAAATACTAATAGAATAGAGAATGTTTAACTTGAGTTATCAAATAAATAAACAACAAAATAAATTAAATACAAACAAACAAAATTTCAAGAGATTTAAACCAAATTTTGGCCTAAATCATCATCGACCTTTGTATCAAGGATGCTTCCATCTTGTGGAGTAGCTTGGTCGATCTGTTTTTTGGCACATACCAAACAATAGACAAGAAGAAACACAGTTGTTGCAGCGACTAGGCATGAAACGACTGATATTGTTATGATGAGTGCCGGGCTGACCTTATAAGTATCTGGCTGAAGAGTATTAGTTTTTGAATCGGGTTTTATCCATGATTTTGGAATAAATAGGCTTCCATTTGTAGCTAGATTTGATTTAGAAGCATTTGAGATCTTGGTAACGTTGATATATTCAGAAAGCATTGAAAAATCGCTTTGAAAATGTAAAGCAACAGATTCATTATATATATTGATGTTATTTACACCAACTAATGATCTATTGTTAGAATTAGTATAGATTGTAAGAACATCATGCTCCTCTACGCTTGTAGCAACATTTATAGTAGTATTTTCTGAACCATATATCAAAATACACTTATTATCGTAATTATTCAGCTGATATGGTGAAACTCCATTTGCTCTGAACGAGACTGAAAATGAATCTGATGAGGAAAAGAAAAATCCTTCGTAGCAAGGTGTTGAATACTTAACTGATATGAACTCAATTGTATCAGGAACATTGGACTGAATGGTAAAATTTGTTGGATAATAAAGAGTAAAGTAAGCAAATGAATTAAGTTCAGTAATTCGATTAGATTCTGTTGTAAAATGCTTCTTATTGTAATCGTAATACGTGATCGATACATCTGCATACTTGCCTGATGTAAAAAGCAAATAAGTTTGATTTTTAATCAGATTAATGCAGTATTTTTTGGAAGGAGCAATATCAAGTCTGTAAGATTGAAGAATATCTGATGTTTCGATGCTATAATCACAAGATAAAGCTGAACTAAAGAAAAGGAATAAAGACCGCATAAAATTTTTTTTTCAGAATGTCAAAAAAGTCAAATTGAGTTCAAAAAATAGATGATGATAAATAGTTGAAATTTAGACAAAAAACTAAAGGATTTTACTAATCATCGTCTATTTCGTGTTATTTATTAAAAAATTCGGGGATTTTCTTTTCAAGAATGTGTTTATAAATAACAGTACATACTTTACACATAAATGACATTGTAATCAAAACTCTTTCATTAACATAGGAGTTTTACCACGATTATTCTTTATTTTGGTATCAATTCCTCTAAATCCTAAGAGAATTTCAACAATTTCTCGATTATTGCGAGAGGTAGCATCATGAAGAGGAGTATTTCCATAATTATCTTGTGCATTAATATCAATTCCATCTAATGATAAAAGGAATTTGACAACATCGATTGAATTATAATAACAAGCAATATGGAGTGGTGTGCTATGATCATCATTTCTCATATTAAGGTCAACACCACATGAAATAAGATCTTGAACAAGAGTTAAATTATTTAATTTTGCTGCATAATGAATTATTGGAAAATTAGTTCCCCAAAAATAACTATGAGTGATAGTTTCATGATATCTATTATCAACAGCAAATTTGATTGAATAAAGATCTCGTTCTTGACTGCATTTTGAGAATGTAGGATAAATATTTATGCGATGATTTGATTTCCAATATTTTTCAAATGAATTTATATTTTCATCTGTTGTTGAAATTTTATCAAATTGTTTGGTTTCTTTATGATTATTGTTATTATTGTTATCATTTGATGATAACATTAATGTTTCAAATAAATGAGTGAAGATTTCATTTTCGTTTTGAATATTGTCATTTGATTTATTTTTTGTTTTCATTTCTTGATCAAAAGAGTTGATGAATGAAGAATAAAATTTGATAAAACGAGAAATTGTTTCGTTTGTGCAGAATTCGAATCTGATGAATTCAATCAGTTTGTCGAATTTTGATGTATTTGGTGTTTTTGATGTTTTTGATGTTTCTGAAAATGATGATGAAAATGATAAAAAAGATGAAAATGTTTTGATGAATGAAATAACAAAATCACAGATATCATCTTCATTGTAGACAAAAACATGTTCGTTACTCAAAATATTTGAAATAAAATCAACAAAAATATTATCGATGTTTTCGTTAAAATATGATGATGCAATAGAATGATAAACAGATTCAAAAAGAAGACAAAGTTTTGAAGGTCCAAGAAAAGAGATATGAGATGCGATGAATGAACATGTTTTATCGAAATCAAATGTTTTAAGACTGTATCTGATGAATGATTCGATGTTTGATTCACTGATAATTGTTGATGAAATAATGAATTTGTATTGTGAAATAAAATCTTCGTTCTTGAGAAGAACACCAAGATCATAAATAATTTCACTTGTTTCGATGTCGATGTTTTCTGAAACATATCTTCTTGAACAAACTTACAAAAAATGTTTAATGCTTTATTAAATGATTCTTTATTATTAATATCAGTATCAATATTAATATTAATCTCTTGTGTACTATTATCTGTAATCAACATGTTTCGAACTGTTTCACTTACAACAACTGCGTGTGATTGTGTTGTATAAAATCGATGACCATTGATAACGAAACAAAAATCACTTCCATATTTAACTAAAGACGAATTTCTGCAATACTGAGAATTAACAACAAATTTAATATCACTCATCAAAAATTTAAAAAATGTCACTTTTTAAATTTTACCAACATTTTTATCGTCAATATATCAAAATTAATTTTTAGATACAACGAATGTCTACACCTTTTAATTCATAACTTGTGAATTTCCTGTCATTTAACCAAATAAACAAATAAACAAAACAAAACAAAAAAAAATAAACAATTTATAAAAAAAAATAACAAAATTTTATACATTTCTTGGAGGCAAAAACTCAAATCTAGCAACAGTCAATGTTGTCTTTCTTGCCTTCCTCAAAAGAGACCTTACATGTATTGGTAACGCAGATAATCTTTTATCTGCTCCAAAACAAGCAGCTGTCCATGACATATTAGATAACTCCTTTGTAACATTCACAAGAGCGTTCCAATCGTCATCAGACTGATGAGAAAACATCGATACTGTGTATGGAGTAAGATTATGAGGAACAACGAAGCAAGTAGATAGGGGAGTAATGTATCCTCCTTCTGGTGAATCGAAAATCCTCTCGCAAGGTGACTGAACAATTATATCATCATCAAATTTATTATTAAAGAAAGCCTGAACGGCAGGGCTCGGGAAAACCGAAATTAAGCAGAAATCACTGACTCCCAAGAAGTCTTCTGCCATAAATTCGTTGTATAAACTCTCGGATATTCCTTCATCGACAATACACATAACAACAGAGATATTTGTATCTTTAATACCATTCCTAATTTTCTTAAACGTCTCTCTGATACCAGCAATGTCCATACTTCTGTTTGTATGGAAGAATTGACAAGTATCATCGCACCACGTCGATAATTTCGTATCGGGATCCCAGGCTATGTGTAATCTGATGGGATCTGTACTCTCATTTGGCCTCTGGATTATAAATGGCGTATGAAATTTGAATCCAAAAAATAAAGACGCGACTTCTTCAGCAGAAACGTATAGATTACCGAATGGTTCTGATTTAAATGATCTCAGGCGTGTATATATCAACAAAGCTAAGTTCTTCATGAAATCTTCCGAATGTTCCGTAATTTGGCAATCCATGATCGGAGTTGTGATGACGTGAGCATCTATATTACATCCGAAAACGATCGGATGCACAATAAATATAGTTGGCTGCTCAACATTAAACTCAGTTTGAAATCTCTGATTTATTTTCATGTTTAACGTCGGTTCCGTTGTTGTCTCGAAGCAGTTCAAGCTCGGGATCAACTCTCCCAGTTGCAATGATGAGTAATAACTCTCTAACTCCTTGAAAAAAATTTTAACGGCCGATGTAACTTGGCCGATGACATAAACATAGTATTTTGTGTTTTGCGGACCATTTATCGGGGAATAGACGTTCTCCTCCCAATTCTGGTAGCACGTGTTAACAGGTACTTGTATAATTCGACCATTTTGACGTACTAAACAGTTCGGAATTCCGAGATGTCTTCCTTCGAAGGATGTAAGCTGATTCGGCATTGGCCCGAGTGAGCTTGATGCATAGGGAATGGATGTGTCTGTAGATAGTGGCGAAATAAAGGGAATTCGTGGTAATAATAATTGATCAATTAATTTCGGAAAAATTGGATTGATTTGAAGCATTTTCTTAAGAGATTTGCGTTCTTCGTAATTAACAATCATTTCATCTATGAGTTCGTAAGCGTTCATCGTTGGAAATGCAACAAATTCTTTTGGAAGGACTTGTGGAGGTTCTTCGACATCGCAAAAATTATTGGCGAAGAATTGTTCGATGCCTTCTTCGACTCCTTCGTAGAAATCTGTCTGATAATCTGTCTGTTCGATCTTTTTCTCAATTTCAACTTCATTGTGGCCAGAACGGCTAAATCTGTAAATGGAATTCGGCCATTTAGTAAATGTAACGAATGTTTGGTTCTCAAATGGTACGTGAATGACTTTTTTCGTTATTGAAACACATGAAGCTCTATTTGTAGAAACTGATTGAACATAAAACGGATGGACGTATGGTGGAATTAATACGAGCTGTTTGGGTTGAATTCTTGAATGCCTACTGAGATATGAAGTCGGTTGTGTTGTTATGAACCTTCTAATGTAAATTCCGTCTTGCGAATACACGGGAATGTTTTGGTAGATGAAGTTATTGCATGGACTGTCGGGTATTTCGAAATATAAGAAAGTCCAGAAATAAACGGGATTCAAATAACTGAGTTTGTAAGCGTTTGATAGGTTAATTGCCTTCTGCATGTCGTCGAGAAAAGAGTATTTGATGTTTTTGTCAATGGTAGGAACCCATGAAAACAATTCTGACCAAACAGGAAATTCGAACTCTTCGATTTGATTGAATAGATCAAATGCAATAACAATAGGATCTTCTGTCTCCTTTGGTGAGTATTCTGGCGATTTGTTCAAGCAATAAGCAGGAATGTTTTTCCTTGCAAGTTGATGTGACAATAATAACAGCCTGCTCTTCAAACTTTCTTTAGATTCGTCAGTTGGAAGGATTTTGGAGTTTATCTGTAATACAGTGAAGCCTCTGAATGGAGTGGTACTCAGATTCCACTGTCCCGCCTCCATTTCAAAGCTCTTGTCACGTTTTTGATTATTTTTTGAATTGATTTTTTTTTAAATAAATCAAGTTTATTTCTAGCCTGAAAAAAGGACTCATATTTAGGACATAGATAGAATAGCTCATCGGAAGCTTAGCTTGAGACTTCGGAGTAAATATATATAACGTGGGTGATTTTTCCCCCAGCCGTAAGAATCACACTTTTGAGAGTTTTACATGGCGTTTGCCGGCAAATGCCATGTAAAATTGTCTCAAATTTTTTAGGGTAAATACACCGGCAACACCCGACAAACAAATTTGAAGTCCAATATATTTCATGCCATTGCTCGTGATCTTGCCAAGCTTGCACACAAGATTTTAGCAACAGCCGACAAACAAATTTACATTTACGATATGAAAGTCCAACTTAGGGCCAAATATCGCTCAATTGACAGGATTTGGAAGACCGTTGTCAAGTATATTGAAAATGATTCACATGTAATTGTTGGTGTTATGGGAGCAAGACATGATACTTATTGGAAATGGAACCATGAATAAACCCTATTTGTTTACATCGATAAAATTATTTTTATTATTATTTGAAGCAAAAAGGTTTCTCTAATTCGTATTTGTAAAAAAAAAATTCAAAATCCTCAAAAATAAGTTCATAAACAAAAAAAGATGTCGATTATCCCAAATTTAGAATCCAAAACAAATTTAGAATTCCCGTGATCGTGCATGAATTTTATTTAATAAATTATTTGCTCAGGATTTAGTTAAGGTTGCAGGTACAACTTTCTGAAATTTTCTTACAAAATCAACAAATCATTGTTTTAATAGTAAAAAAAAAAATACAAGAATAGTACATACTTAATACATAAATGACATTGTAATCAAAACTCTTTCATTAATATAGGAGTTTTACCTTCATTATTCTTTATTTTGATATCAATTCCTCTAAATCCTAAAAGAATTTCAACTATTTCTCGATTATTGCGAGAGGTAGCATCATGAAGAGGAGTATTTCCTAGCTTATTTTGTGTATTAATATCAATTCCATCTAATGTTAAAAGGAATTTGACAACATCGATTGAGTTATAATAACAAGCAATATGGAGTGGTGTGTCTAGATAAACATTTCTCATATTAAGGTCAACACCACATGAAATAATATCCTGAATAAGAGATAAATCATTATATTTTGCTGCATAATGAATTATTAAAGTACCAAATACAGATAATTCATGATATCTATTATCAACAGCAAATTTGATTGAATAAAGATCTCGTTCTTTACTGCATTTGTAAAATGTTTGATAAATATTTGTGCGATCATTTGATTTCCAATATTTTTCAAATGAATTTATATTTTCATCTGTTGTTGAAATTTTATCAAATTGTTTGGTTTCTTTATGATTATTGTTATTATTGTTATCATTTGATGATAACATTAATGTTTGAAATAAATGAGTGAAGATTTCATTTTCGTTTTGAATATTGTCATATGATTTATTTTCTGTTTTCATTCCTTGATCAAAAGAGTTGATGAATGAAGAATAAAATTTGATAAAACGATAAATTGTTTCGTTTGTGCAGAATTCGAATCTGATGAATTCAATCAGTTTGTCGAATTTTGATGTATTTGGTGTTTTTGATGTTTTTGATGTTTTTGATGTTTCTGAAAATGATGATAGTGAAAATGATAATAAAGGTGAAAATGTTTTGATGAATGAAATAACAAAATCACAGATATCATCTTCATTGTAGACAAAAACATGTTCGTTACTCAAAATACTTGAAATAAAATCAACAAAAATATTATCGATGTTTTCGTTAAAATATGATGATGCAATAGAATGATAAACAGATTCAAAAAGAAGACAAAGTTTTGAAGGTCCAAGAAAAGAGATATGAGATGCGATGAATGAACATGTTTTATCGAAATCAAATGTTTTAAGACTGTATCTGATGAATGATTCGATGTTTGATTCACTGATAATTGTTGATGAAATAATGAATTTGTATTGTGAAATAAAATCTTCGTTCTTGAGAAGAACACCAAGATCATAAATAATTTCACTTGTTTCGATGTCGATGTTTTCTGAAACATATCTTCTTGAACAAACTTACAAAAAATGTTTAATGCTTTATTAAATGATTCTTTATTATTAATATCAGTATCAATATTAATATTAATCTCTTGTGTACTATTATCTGTAATCAACATGTTTCGAACTGTTTCACTTACAACAACTGCGTGTGATTGTGTTGTATAAAATCGATGGCCATTGATAACGAAACAAAAATCACTTCCATATTTAACTAAAGACGAATTTCTGCAATACTGAGAATTAACAACAAATTTAATATCACTCATCAAAAATTTAAAAAATGTCACTTTTTAAATTTTACCAACATTTTTATCGTCATTATATCAAAAATAATTTTTCGCTAAAATTTAGTGTATATTTAGACCTCTATGGCATGGCTTTCAATTCAGATGTTTAATGTTAATTTTCAATGACGTTTCATGCCAGCTGTCAAAAAAATTGAATTAAAGTCAGATGGGCGTAAGTGCAGCATTAAATTCATCTTTCAATCATAATTGAAATTTACAATTTTCTGTTTATATTCATATTCAAAAAAAAAAAAAAAAAAAAAAAAAAAAAAAAAAAAGGAAGTGGGGCTTCCAGGCACTTCGTGCCTTCTAGCCCTGAAGATGTTTAGTATAAATGAAGTTTTTATTCGGAGGGCTTCCAGCCCTAAGAATTTTTCCCAAGACCCAAGAGGAGGACCGAACCCCAGCCGACCAGCCGTTGACTTTTTTGTCATGATTTCATCGTAAATGTTTTGTCAAGACTTCTTCGTAAATGTTTTGTCAAGACTTCTTCGTAAATGTTTTGTCAAGACTTCTTCGTAAATGTTTTGTCAAGACTTCTTCGTAATGAGCGTAAATGACCCAAAAATAATGTTTATGTTAGAATGTTAGATCTAACACGTTTTCTAACATGTTTTCTAACATCGTAGAAAACTCATGATTTCTTCGTAAATGTTTTGTCAAGACTTCTTCATCGTAAATGTTTTGTCATGAATTTCATCGTAAATGTTTTGTCAAGACTTCATCGTAAATGTTTTGTCAAGACTTCTTCGTAATGAGCGTAAAGGACCCAAAAATATAATTTAGGGTAGAAGGTTAGATCTAACATTCTAACATAAACATTATTTTTTGGTGTAAATTTCATGATTTTCAAGAGTTTTCTACGATGTTAGAAAACATGTTAGAAAACATGTTAGATCTAACATTCTAACATAAAATATATTTTTGGTGTAAATTTCATGAAAATTCAAGAGGGTAGAAAACTCATGATTTCTTCGTAAAATGTTTTGTCAAGACTTCTTCATCGTAAATGCTTTGTCACTTTTCTGTCACTTTTCGGGTAAAAACATTTTTATTATTATATATAAATGAATTTTACAAAACCACCGTTACGTTCTTTGGAAATAAGAGTGAGTAAAGATATTTCTATTGAGAGAACTTAAGAAACTACCGAATGGTCTAACATTTGTAGATTTGTTCGTGGAAGTTTCTATATATCTCATTTGTGCCATACAATATTTCCTGACTCAAAGATTATATGCAATGACTTCGACAACTATAGAACCGTCTCAAACATATACCAGACACAAACAAAATATTGAAAGAGTTAAAAGAAAAGATACCTATAGGTAAGATGGAACGTATACCATTAGATAAGAAAAATACTGTCAGAGAGGTTTTGAAAAAGGCAGAGTATATTGACTGGGATAGTATATCTGCTAGACTATTATTAGTGGTGCTATAAGAGTTCATGACATTGAAACACTTATGTCAAAAGTTTTATATCTTAACTATACAAATGTTTTCAAAGAGAACATAGAAAAATATATTGAGGGTATAGAGTTTGTGAGATGTCATTGGACAGAGTTGTATGAAAAATATAAGACAAGGAAAATGTTTTCTTTATGTGGACCCGCCGTTCTATAACACATGGGATTTTCAATACCAAGTAGACTGGACTTTGAGAGACTCTTTAGAAAACTTTAGACGTTTTACATAACCATCCATGCTTTTACTTTACATCCGATAAAAGTGGTTTGGAAACCGTTATGAGATGGTTAGAGACATACATGACTATGAGTTTAGATACGATAAGATAGAATATGAGAGAGGTCCTATAAACTGGAGAAAGTGTCATAACAAAGAAATTTTATTGGTAAGTAAATGTGGTTTGAAATAGGACTACTTGTTTTAGGTTTTTTCCATTGTGTCATTTACTTATTTGACGTGGCAGAAAGATATAGAGAATATGAAGATGAACCAATGCCTGCAAATGTTCAGTATATGTACTCGTAAGAGATATTTTTTATCTAATATTAAATGGACGCACAGAACTTAGCGAATGCACAGCAACCTGGACAACCAAACCCAGAGAATATTCCAAATGAAGTTAGAATACAAACTGCAATGGCAAAACTATGGTCAAGTGCCAACAGATGTACAAATGCAAACTGCATGTCAAATGACGCTGCGTTAGGTTTGCCACCATGGTATGCAAATATGAGATGGAAAGAGTTTTATACAAACCCTGAAGTGGGATATAACAACTTTATGCAGATGACGCGAAACAGGAGTTGCCAGAATATGTTTTCTACCAGAGGAGAAACAGAATGTATGAGCTCCAGTTAAAGAATGCTATGGAACTCAACAGGAAACGTAAGAGACTAGGCGGACATTAGATTTTTACATATAGTAAAATGCGGTTTTCTTCAGTAGTATTGGAACTTCTTTCGAAATGTTGGAAGAGGTATATGGAATGGAATAAAAACCGTAGGAAGAGGAATTTGGAACGGAGTCAAAAATATTGGTAAAAGGTAGGTCAGTTCGTTGGTATTATACCTAAAGACCCTGAACCAGAAGAACAAGCTCCTGTTATACAACAGCCTGAACCTGCACCACAGTCTAGTTGGCAACCAAATCCAACACCTCAAC